GAGCATATTTAGGAATAACTAGTTATCTAATAAAATAACGAATTACATACATTACCGCTAACACACACATATGTATACCTATTTAAGCAGATATAGACATTGATAAAATTGTTTTATTATATTTCTTTGTTAAGGTGTCTGTGTGCGCTGTGCAAGTAGTGAAACATTAATGTAGTAATGTACTGCGGTGTATTGTTGTTAGAAAGATGGAAAATCGATAATATTATTGCAGTAAGTCAAAGTTTTCAAATATATCTAATTCACGGCAACAATCTAATTTAGAGATTTCAGGTTTCCTTTTGTTAGTCAAATGTTTAGGATAGGAATATTTTTCTTCAGATTTACAAGCATATTTACCTTATACCTTTATAGAATGATATAATATGTAATAAGTAAACTTGTTTAATCTTCTAAAAATATCTTTAGTTAGAGTTATATCTATGTAAAATATCTTTTACGTTTCTAGGTTTACCCGTAAACGTTGTTGAACTATTATTGTTGAGCGAACGAAAAGTGTTTGAATACAAATATCATGTGCAAATAAAACGGTTTGATTATTTGTCTACACAATAAGTTGTGTTGGCTTAAAAAAGACTCGTTACAAGTTCATTTTCAAAATCGATTCGTATTTAGTTGCAGTTTAATACCCTCTCTCGTGGAGTATTTACTCGCGATAAGTAACGTAGTCAATTAATCTTTTCGTAACTCAAAGCGTCAAACAATATAAGATTTGCTTTTATGTCAACAACTGTTCGGGGACCCCGTTGCTTTATATTTGCCCACGCTACTAAGCTATTCGTCGACAGAGGAATAAAGTGGAAGTAAATGTTCGAAAATAAAAATCCATTGGTCAAATGGTCAAACCGGCCATAGATTTTACGGATTTCTGTAGGCTGCTGAGTCGAACTGTACTGCAAAGCATGTAGAAAAATTCATCTCGATCGATCTTTCCGTGTCCGAGGTTTTGGCATTAGGTTGAGTTTCGGTACGTCGTTAGGCAGGTGTTTTCGAGTGTGGCATGAAATGTTCAAACCGGATAATCTGAACCGGGGACAAGCCCGGATTAAGAGGGGGCAGAGGGAGCCATGGCCCCAGGCCAACAGCGGATATCAAATAATAGTGGGTCCCTGGCAGATTGTAGGTTTTTTCCGTTTTTTTAACTCTTTCTTTAGCATAAAAAACCAGTGTAGAACAAGCAGTTCTCAAGAAAATTTAAATAGTTTTATGGTTTTGTGTTCAGAGAGTGATGTTTTGGAGGTAATTAATACTGATGATTTAATGAAAGGATTTGCTTCCTAAAAAGCAGGAATTGAAAACGTTTTTGATTTTTTCGTTTTCGTTTTTGTTTAATGTTTTTAAAAGTTATTTTTCTTTAATGTTTCCAAATAACGTTTTTGATATATATATATTTTTTTATATATTCTTATTTCTTATACCTAACTTATAATAGTTACAATAAATATTCAATATACTGAATTTAGGAATGCACTTAAGTTATAATTAATTATTCTTAATATTTAAAATTTCAATTTCAAATCAAAATTATAATTTATATTTTATATGAAAATAATAAAATTCAAAATTTTAAATTAAAACGTTTTTAAAAAGTGTATTGGTAAAGAATAAGTAAAGACGTAAAGTAAAGTAAATAAAATCATGTTATTGTTACAATTAACTATAATAGCCAATAGGATAATTAGTAGGTATAATAAATTATAAAACAAAATCAATTCCAAATAAACTGCTAATAGATAATAAAATAATCCATACATATAAAAATGAAGCCAAAAATGTATAACAGTTCATAAACTGAGTACGGCTGGCCGAATTGGCTCAAATTATTTTTATAATTGCCAGGAGAAGGTTTTTTTTTATATAAAAAAAACATTTTTGGAAAAACTCTTTTTTTTTTTAAATTTTTTTTTAAACATTTTTTTGATTGATTTTTTGAGTTCCGGAATGTTTTTCGAATTGAAAAAGCTACAGCAAGTTTTAGCTTATAAAATATCCATATGACATAATATATCGTTAAAATGGGACCCCCGGCCAACACCAAAGAAATGGATCAACCTGAAGATATATGTCGTGTATTGAATATTAGGAATTATTAGGTATTAATATTATGTTTTACTATATAAAGTAAAGTTTAAATTTTGTAAAGTGATCATTTTCGTATCGTTTTTATTCTATTCGATTTTATTAATAGCCGTAAACACCCTCTCCTTACATAGAACGCAATAGTCGTTAGTAGAGATAAAATTTAGGTTTTATCTATATGAAATATGATTATTCGATTATTACGACTTCATTTTCCATTTTCCGTTGTTGGCCCGACATCCTTCAATTCCCTGCATACTTTGGATGGTGTGCTATGCGCCACTTTTCGGGAGGCTTGCCAACGTACAAGGATGAGATGGCTGACGAAATTTTGCACAGAGTTCGCACGACAACTTTGAATTTTGATCTTGAAACTAATGACGAGATGCGCAACGAAGCATTAGTTCTGATCGAAGACATGTGCGTGATCATGTGCGATAGTCTGTTATCAATATTGGGAATGCCAGCGTCAAATTGTTCGACGCACGATGTATTCAATCGCGAATTGCAGCGGGAGAAAGACTATGATCGAGATGAGCTAGTTGAAAGAGTCCGAACAAATGTGCCGTTGTTGAATTTTGAGCAGAAGAATGTATACGATTCACTGATGAAGGTTGTTGATGATGGAACGGAAGGCATTAACTTTATCGATGTTCCTGGTGGGATAGGAAAAACGTTCGTTATTTCGTTGATTCTGCCAACAATTCGGTCAAGATCTCAAATTGCGTTGATGTTGCATCATCTGGCATTGCTGCCACATTGTTGGAAGGTGGTTGAACTGCACATTCCGCTTTGAAGTTGCCAATGAATCTTCTCACGGCTGACAAGCCTATGTGCACAACGACCAAGAATTCAGAGACAGCGAAATTGATACGAGAATGCAAAATTCTCATTTGGGATGAATGCACGATGGCTCATAAACTAGCTTTGGAGGCAGTTGACCGAACGATGAAGGATTTACGAGGTGATTCGAGACGATTTGGTGGTGCAATGATATTGCTCTCCGGAGATTTTCGTCAAATACTTCCCGTCATCCCGAAATTTACTGCTGCCGATGTAATTAATGCATGCGTGAAATCGTCGTTTTTGTGGTGGTATGTCAAGAAGTTGAAATTGACAACGAACATGAGAGTTGCATTGCAGAATGACCGATCGGCTGTGGAATTCTCGAGACAACTGCTGGCGCTTGGCAACGGCCAAATTCCGATTGATCTTTCGACTAGATTAATATCGTTCCCGGAAAATTTTGTTAGTTCACATCGTCGAAGAAGGAACTCATTACAAAAGTGTTCCCAAGAATTGAAGACAATTATAAACATCTTGATTGAATAAGTGAACGGGCAATACTAGCAGCGAAGAAAGGACGTCGATAGCTTAAATTGTGTAATTCAAAGTAAAATCGCTGGAGAATTGCGTTCGTACAAATCCGTTGACAGCATGACCGACAAAATAAAGCGACCAACTATCCGATAGAATTTTTGAACTCGCTTGATGTGTCAGGAAATCTGCCGCATAATTTACAGCTAAAGGTGGGATCGATCATTATTATGTTGCGGAATCTAAATTGTCCTAAATTGTGCAATGGTACGCAATTGTCCTTTAAGAAACTGATGAATAATGTAATACAAGCAACGATCATTAAGGGTAATTTTAAAGGAGAGGAAGTCCTTATCCCACGAATTCCGATCATTCCAACAGATCTTCCATTTCAATTCAAGCGGATTCAGTTTCCCGTTCAATTGGCTTTTGCGATGATAATTAATAAATCGCAAGGCAAATCGTTGGGAGTCTGTGGAATCAATTTAGAATTTTCATGATTTTTGCACGGTCAGCTGTACGTTGCCAGTTCACGTGTTGGCAAACCGTTTTTAATGTTTGTTTTTGCGCCAGAAAACAAAACGAAAAACATTGTTTATCATATTTCACTCAACTGATTTCTGTTTTATTTTAAATAAATCAACAAATAAATTCTTGAACTATATGTTTTATTAACACTCTAAAGTTTATTTGAAAGCGTTAAGTTCGTCGGATCCACTTAATATTTAAAAAAACTTTTTGGCAAAACAACGTTTGCCGAGTCAGCTAGTCATATTATAATAATTGAAGCGGCAACCATATTACAGATGATCCATGACCGTCGTCGTGAATGATAATTGAATTTTATCGTGACCACTGCAATGTGTATGTGCCATGTGGATTATAATTAATTATTGAGCTATAGTATTAATATATTTTATTTGTCAACAATTATCTATTCCTTATCAGAATTATTAACTTTTTGATAACAGATATATATTTTTTTTCGTAATAAATAATAATAGTATAATACTATAGTTTATTTTCGTTTTCGTTTTTGATTTCGTTATAATATTTTTTTTTGTTTATGTTTTATTAATTGATTTTGTTATTATATTTTTTTCGTTTTCATTTTTTTTCACGTTTTAAAAACCGTTTTCCTTACTAAAAAGAAAGAAAAAATTATTTATGCAAATAACATTTTTATTTTTGTATTTAAAAAAGCAAGAAATAAATTTCTAAATTAGAATATAATTTTTTTTTGTCTCCGAAATATATTTACGTGTGGGTCACCAATATTTTGAATATGATTATGGACCCCAAGATTTAATCCGGGCTTGACCGGGGAGAAAAAACAAAAAAAAAAAATATTGCCTCTTTTCAACCTCTGCACCCCCCTCTCCCTCGGAGTTAATATTTCTGAACGTTGATACGGTCCTCACCATCGCGCCGGATACGACATTGTGCGTTTGTGTTGGTTTTCGCGAACATTTTTCGACGCGCGCGTGACGGCCGCACTGGGCGCGCACAGCCGAGCTTCGGCCGAACCCCTCGGCGAGCGCTGCCCGTCACGCGGCGGCCCCCCCCGCGATTGGCACTCGGTCAGATAGCGTGTGCCGTCGTCAGGCGGTGTGTGTTGTCCCGCGGTGTTGTCGTCCGGTCGCTTTTCGCTGTCCGGTCACTGTCGTCGTCGTCGTCGTCGTCGTTACTGTTGGGCATGGCTTTGCCGTACGAGGTGCCTCGCGAGTCCCGGGGGCCCGCGCTGGCCGCGGCCGGCGTCCGGCCGCGCGTCGACCCCGAAGCGCTAGGCGAGGTGGACCCGGAACAGTACCCGCAGCCGAAGGACTCGACGAACCGGATACGCGGCAAGTCGGATATCATCGAACTGATATTCGGCTCGGTGGACCAGGAGCTGTTGACCGTCAAGACGTTTTACTTCTTCTTCTACTCCGCGTTCGGTTCACTGTTTCCGCTCATGGGCGTCTATTTCAAGCAGATGGGCATGAACCCTAGCCAATGCGGTCTGCTCATCGGGTCCCGGCCGTTCGTCGAGTTCCTGGCCGCGCCGTTTTGGGGTGGTCTGGCCGACAGGTACGTACGGATGCACATGTCCTTTCGCCGAAGTTGTTTCAAAGTTTACGCGCCTGTGTGTGTGCTTGTGTGTGGTGGAGGGGGGAGGGGATATGACGGTAATTATTTTAATTCGAACGACGCGCACGCACACATTTTTCCAAAGATCGTAGTAGTTTTCATTGTAGTGAAAAAAAAAAACCGCAGAAGAACCGATAAAAACGTGGCTAACAAGGGGTACCACCGGTGAAAATTATTGAGGCGACTGCCCTACATAATAACGGGTTTCAGCGCACCCGGCGGTCGGACGATTATTCGGTCACGGTGTCCGTGCTACCCCATACGTAGCGCTCCGTGTCCGTCGAGCCCTGCTGATCGGAAAAACGAAAAATGTCCGTTTACGTTTTTGAAAACACTCGTCGTTTCGGATGTCGTTGTAACATGTTCTCGCGGAACACAACAATAGCAATAATAACAAAAATCATAATAATACGATTGTCGCGGCCGTGCCTGTGTAGGCGTGAATGCGTGTGCATGCGCGCGGGCGCGTCTCGTGAGAGACAGAGAGAAAGAAAGGTAGAGGTCTCCGATCGATTTTCTACCCATTTCTCTCCGCCGCCACCGCCGCCGACGACGTTGCTAACCTCCATACGCGCGTGCCTTCCCCTCAGCCGGCGATTGCGGGTTAACGGGGTCGTCCCCCGTCTGCCATCAAAACCAGAGCACCCCGCACCCTGCACGGACGTCGCCGAAAGAATACGCGCGCCCGCGTCGTCGCTAATCCGTCCACGTAATTTGCCGTTGTCCAACAAGTGTACACATTATGATGTCGACGCATATATTATCGTGATGGTTTACCAATGGGAACCCGCAGCGGGGACCGATATCTGCAGCTTTCCGCGGTCTCATAACGTTATGTCATGTTGAATTATTGTAAGGCAAACATCGTTTTTATCGCCGATCAAACCCAAAATCCATTACTTCGTGAGCTCCTATTGGCTCATTGAAATCTGAGGAAGTAAAAATGTCGAAATATTGAACGGGGGACCGGAAGTGTTCAGACCTTTAGGCCAACACTATAACGAATAAGTCTCTAGGGTCCACGTATGAAAGCCTTGTCCCTTCTCGACTGTCGCTCTCGTCGAATCAAAGTTACCCGCAAATCGTTAATACAGTTCTCGGTCTAATTACGAGCGTTGCATTTCGGAGAGAAGAGGGTGGAGGTCCAATAAAATCTCGTCTGTTACCGCCACGAATCCCGGTGAAACATAGTTGAATTTCCGTAATCCTTTTCCGTCCCACATAACAGCCCTTTTCGACAGCCTGCACGAGACTTACACACGTAATGTCTAATTGGGCCTAATTTGTCTAATTGTCTAAGTTCACTGCTACGAATTTATGTGTCAGGTTTTGTTAGGACGCGAACATCGTGCCGATGTACACGAGTTCAATCGTTATACATTTTGCTAAGAAGCAAATTTACATTTACTCAGGATTAGTTGCCGTGAGATTAGAAATGCTATACATTGTGATCAACACAATCGGGTGATTTGATTATTTGTCAATCATTACGTTATTTATATTATTTGTCAACACTAAAGATAAAAAGTAATACAAAAAAAGAGAATGACAGGCAAAATATTATTGAGTAATAACAAGATAAAATTAATTTATTTATTGAACAAATTAACTAACCTAACCTAACCTAACATTAAATCATCATTAAAATACAGGAAATATATACCTAATAAAAGTAAATTCATAAGAAGTTTGGTTTTTAGACAATTAAAAGTTTTTCTATAATTCTTAGATAAGTGTATTTCATTTGAATGGTACATCTATATAGATTATATTTAATTGATTATCATTCAAATATAATTTAAATTATAAATGCATTTTCATGATCAACATTATATTATACGGTTGAATACCCTTCGGAATATGTAACGACCTACGAATACATCAATCAGTACTGTCATTTGTACGTATTACATGTATTTGACTGATTACAAGAACTCTGGTAGAACTGGTGTACACATTAATCAGTGAATGATGAATTGGAATGTGTTAATTTTAAATAGAAATTTCCTAACAAGACTTTTATATGAAATCAATAATTAATTAAAACTGAGGATTTGTTTTATTTTCTTTGTTATCAATTACAGCGATTCAGAGTATTATAAAGTTTTATGAAAACACCGTATTCATTTCTTTTGGAAAAAAATATAAATATTTATTTTTTTCATAATAATATTTTTCATCATTATGTTTGGTATTTTTAAATAATTTTATTACATTATAATAATGCTATATCGCACAGATAATTTATAGATCAATAATACGTTGAGCTTTTAAAAAAAATAATTGTATTTTTTCTTTTCGAAATACTTAAACATATTCATATAGTGACCTACTTATCTAAAATTCAACTGAGTTTAACGTTTTATTCAATTTTAAATGATTACATTCTTATGTTTTTATTGCTTTATTTATATATTATATAAAAAATTATGTTAATACTTAAGTATTAAAAATACTTGTATTATAACCATTAGGGATCGATTTTAATACATTTTACATTTTCGCGCATACGAGTATATGATATGATTAGCGTTTGCTTTTATGTAATTAAGTTTTAACTTCTAATTTATTTGAACATTGACTATTTGAATCAACAATGTATTTAATATTAAAAAAATTTATGTAAAATAGAATGTTAATAAATTATGGATTTAGGTGTTATTTTGTGTTTGATCTTAATTTAATTAGATCCTGTTTCATAGTTTCAAAGTTAATATTTACTTTTAAGTAATCTTATAAGCATTGGTCCCAAAGGAAAAAATAATATTGTCACAACAAGAAGTATCCATACAATAGTCAGCAGTACAGTCGGAATTTAATATATTTTTCTTGAATACGAAAGAAAAGTTAATATTATATTACGGCAATCGGTCAATAAGTCCATGTGAAACAGACCGATACTTTTACATCAACTCGCAGTGGCGTGGTGAAGTGAAATATTCTATCGGGCAATTCATTGTTTTGAATGACCTACCACCCAGAGACAGTGATAGGGGGACAAGTTCCCCTCTCTACCCAAATTTATAATTTAAAGCTAAAGCCCTACAGAGCTGTTTACCACCAGATATTTGAGCCCCCCTCAATATTTTCCAGGATCTCCAACTATGCTACCATCCCTTAAGTCTTGACGCTTACAATATTTGTACAACAAAAAATTATATCTATTTATTTGAACTACTGTAATTGAAATATTAATTACTATATTAAATTACACTTAGTAATTAATATGAAGATCATGTAACAACAGCTGCAAAATAAAAATAAACTAATATTTATCATAAACAACTTTACAGCTTAACATTAATACATTATGTCAGACGCAGGTCACGGGGAATTGGGTATTCACGTTGTACGACAACGATTTTATTTGTTTATAAACTACTTTAGTAGTACAGTACAGAGTAGTAGGAACTAAAACTAAAATTATAATGCTATCTATATTGCTATTTTATTATAGCCGTATTCAGTGTTGTTATTTACAATATCGTGGCACTCTATTGGATAACTTTTCTTAGCATTTTTACTAGTTAGTTATTATTGAAGTTATGATTCTTGTTAAATATCATATTCAGATGACAAAAATGTCTCACTAAATCTAGTACTCAACCACCCACCCCTTTAAAATTATCGGGCAATTGCCCTTTAAAATCACGGTCAACACGCCACCTGACAACGCGTATAACATATTAGTTTTAGGAAGAAATTGCAAATAAATATTTGTGATATAAGTGATAATCGAACGATTTTTGTTGTATATGTAGGTGGCGCAAGGGTAAAATGTTATTGTTGGCTTCCCTCTCGTGTTGGATAATTTTCACGTTACCGTTGGGTTTCATACAGCCACCGGCCACGAGATGTATTGTGAAAAAAAACGCGTCCACGTACATGCTGGAAACACCAATGGCGCCGAAAGTCTACAAACGGGACGTGTCTTCAGTGACGGATTTCATTAAATACGATCAAGACATTAACGACTTCGAAGTGCCGGACTTATCAACGCCCGTGATACGACGGACCCGCGGTGTGCGTCCGAGGTTTACGGCCGGTCGGTCCCCGTTAGACGTCAAGTTCGCCTCAAACTACAACGAGAAACAGCATTACAACCTGGTCATGCCGATTTACAGTCACATCGTGTACACGATTGAAGTGAGTCAGCCGAAATTTCAGTCGAAATACGAATGGTTTACGAGATAAATAATGTATCTCAGAAGTTTGAAATAGAATATCGTCGCAGTGTCCGCAAAACTCGTCCCGTTTATGTGATTTTTCGATTTGAAATCGATTGTATTTTCAACGGTTTCGTAAAAATTTCGAACAAATTGTATTTATATTATAATACTATATTAAAACACATGTTATAACATTTATGGGCACCGTAAATTGGTGTGTTCGGAAGTATAAATTGTTTCGAATAAATTACGATATATAGGCATAAGGAAACGCAATCTTTTTCATTAATTCGAATTCGTTAAGAAAATGAAACTACTATATATAATAATAGTTGTATAAAATAATTGTCCTCGAAGTTTAAACTTTTACTCGTAGTTTTAATACCGAATAAAATTATGTGAACGCTTTATTCTGAAACCACCATGGCTGACGCTGAAATTTGATACCGTCAGGGATATTACATTTAAATAATCTAGCAAGAATTACAAAGTACTTGACCCAATATTATATCGAGTGACATTCAAGTTCAGCATATTATAATAGCGTTACAAATTCAGTACGAATACACATAGTGAAATGTTTTTGTTTAAATGGAACTAAAAAAAAAAAAAAATCTATAAATTGTTAATTCGGCTTATTTTATTATTTATTATTTGATCAATGATTTTATGATTTTATTATGTAAAGAATAATTTATTCAATCATTATTTTGAAGTTATATCATTCGAAAAGAATAGCTTAAAAGTTAATATTAATAGATTTTATAATTGATCTGATTAATATAGTTTTGGAGTTATACATTTACTTTAACGTTAAGTGATGTTGAAAGTTATATAGATATGAAATTAATTATTATATTTTTCTATGATTCTTATTATATTTATTATATTTTATTATTAATATTATTTTTATTATATTTTTTTCTATAATATTTTCTAATGTTTTCTCAATCATATTAGTTATTATATTATTATATAAAAAGTTCATTTTTAAACTTATGACTTATGAGTTGCCATCAATATTTAAATATAGGATTTATTTGATTAAAATTTTTGAATAAAAGATTATTTGTTTTTTGGTATTCTAGTGGTTGATATTTGTAAAACAATTAATCATAATTATAAATACCATCGAAATTGATTGGAAATAAAGTAGTTTAAGGGCACTAATATTTTTTGTATATAATTCAATTCACTTAATATATCAATATATCGGCGATTCTTAGATATCGAAAAAATTTAAATTTATAAATGTTCACAATAGTTCTTAAAATTTAAACTGACCATTTTATACGAGTATAATAAAAATAGCGGAGCATAGTTTATTATTAATATAAATTTAAAAATGTTGTTAAAAAATAGTATGCAATATGTACAGTATTATTAGTGATTATGTTAATATTAAATTGAATGTAATTTATTTTAACTGACAAAAAATGTAATAATTAATTTTTCATTTTTTCTAGGACATCGAAAAAGTATTTTTTCTCCTGTTGCTTTTGGTCATGATAGGAGAATTCTTCAGTGCACCCGCTATTACGTTGGCTGACTCGGCGGTCATTACGCTGCTAGGTACGGATGCCGACAAATACGGTCATCAGAGAATGTTTGGTTCATTGGGATGGGGTCTGGCCATGTTCTTCGTGGGCATAGCGCTGGACCATTCGACCGCCTTCCCGGATCATCCTTGCAACGGACCGCAGGACAGGGAAAAAAATTACACGATTTGTTTCGCCACGTTCTCCGTGCTTATGGGCGCCGCTTTGATCACTGCCACACAGATGAACTTCCGGTACGAAGAAACGGCCGAAGACGAACAGACGGAGATGATGATGGAGAAAGGATCGGCGGTGCCCTCTAGGGACGATTATCTCCAGCAAGAGTTGGCCCAACAGTTGAACCTTCCATCTTTGGCACCCAACGCGGCGGGCTTACCGCCCAGACCCCCAGAAATTACGGGAGGGGCAGAGGCAAACTTAAAGGTTATTTGATATTGCAAACAGACCTATAGAATTAAATTACCCATCCGCGGAAATGCGTTGTATATTGTGTACTTGAATGTATCTGAATTTCATTGTAACAAATTTCAGACTAAGATTTTCGCTCAAACTACAAAGAAAATTCCTGAATGGATTACGGTCTTGAAATATTTTGCCAATTTGAAGTGCGGATCATTTTTGTTCGTTTCGTGGTTCATGGGATTTGGTATCGGACTGATATTTACGTTCTTATTTTGGCACTTGCAAGTGAGTAATTATAGCCGTAAAAAATAAAAAAACAACGTTTTTTGATTTTATAACACTATCAAAAATGTTTAGGATTATGGAGGATCACCTACGCTTTTCGGTGTTGCTTCGGTTATTAATCACATCTCGGAGATATTCGCCTACTTCTTCAGCTTCAAACTCATCCGTCAAATGGGACACGTAAAAGTATGAACATTTCAAATTAGTAGTAATGATTAAAAATTTAGAGCTTATATTATCATTCATTGTGTTTAGGTATTGTGTCTGGGACTCGTTGGTAACATTTTGCGTTTCTTGTACATCTCTTGGTTGAAAAACCCGTGGTGGGTTTTACCGTTCGAGTTCATGCAAGGTAATTGTTCACATTATCGTGTTTTTCATCACCTCGTCATGACTGTTAAATACTACATCGGAGACACAATTGTCATAAAAATTACGCCGTGAACAATAGTTTACTTGAGAAAACGAATAAATACGCAACAATAATTTAATATAGATTTATTTTGGTTTTTTTCTCAGGCATAACCCACGCAGCCGTCTGGGCGGCTTGTTGTTCGTATATAGCTCATAATACACCGCAACAGTTACGAAGTTCTGCACAAGGAGTGTTGCAAGGTATTCACCATGGATTAGGCAGAGGATGCGGTGCTGTCATCGGTGGATGGTTTGTCACGTACTTTGGTACGCATATAAAGTTTAAAACGTATGTAATAGAAATATGACTTGATCATTTGTTTTGGGAATATAGGCACTACAACAACATTCAGAGGATATGGATTTGTTTGCGCACTTGTTTTGGGAGCTTTTATTTTCATTAATTTCTACAGAAAAGATACTGGATTTGTATCGGAACTTCCAGTTGCCGAAGATCCACATCAGGTGAATAATATTACCATTTTTTAGTAGTTATAGCAGCGTAGAAAAATATGTTTGAAGTTATTAACTGTACAGTTATAAAAATTGTGTGATAATTCATAAATCGTTGTCACCAATATGGTGAGTAGAATTTATTTTATTTCTATCAATTTATACTTTTTTACGAAAAAAAAGGAAAAATTAAAATAAATCTGGTTTCGCGGATCAATTATTATCATATATTTTATAGGTTTTAGTCGAACTAAAAAATTATACGGTAAAAAAAAAAGCTGGAAGGGGCTTATGTCTATGACTTGAGAATTCTGAAATAGATTGAGTACGATCTTAATGCCGGCATTTATATTGTAAATTACTAGATATACCATAATATCCACGTTAGGATAAATATTTAGTCGTTGTTGAAATTATATAAAAAATGAAAGCTGTCCGAAGATTATTTGTTGATAATGTTACAATATATAAATATTGGGTTATTAGCTTTGACAATTGTTTTTGAATAATTCAAATAGTTGTATCTATAAATTAAACTTTGAAGATAGTTAATACTATAATGTTTACTTTGGTATAATACGTAAATGTTGTGTCATCCGTTGTCTTGGTTTCTATCCTGTTGAGTAGTATTTGAGTATTCAGATTATGAATAATGTAATAATGTTTTCGATATTTGTTTGTGGACTAAGTTTATAGGGATAAATAAATATGGTCTATTACAATATGCATTTAATAATAAAGGATTAATTATTATATACTAATTAGAAACATGATTATAAAAAATATTTAAAAATATAACATTTTTTAATCTATAGAAGTTACATTTTAGAATAAGAATGAACAATAAGTTTCCTTTTTTATTCATGCAGGTGGCCGAAGAAACAGCTCATTTAGCTCCGCATGGTGTACCTAGCAATCCCTTGCCAAGAGGTTTATCGAGCAACAAATTACAAGATCTGGCAACTGAAAATCATGGTTACGGCGCCACACATACGTCCGGTGGAAATTTGAATATACCGCAAGGTATTCGAAACTCCTTGTCGGTAAAGCTATAATATTTATTATCAAATATTTTCATTTTAGGCGCAACGAATCCATTTAGACAAAATAACGGCTACCAGCAACCAATCAATCATGGCACATTGTATACGGATGAATGTATACAGAAACAATATACGGTACTAAAAAAAAAAAAAAAAAAATTGAATGTATATTTTTATAACTATTTATTATAAGAAGTTAGTAAAAATAGATTAGAGTCTGAGAGTAGTTGTTCTCAATCTGAAATCATATTAAACCTTATCATTTAATAGTTACTTTATATAACTCAGGTCTGAAAGTCCATACATAAAATGTATGCAAATATTAATATACGAACATATTCTAAATAAAATAAAGGCATAATAAAACGAAAACAAATTCTTTTATGCGCAAAATAATTTATATTTAGAGGTTCGGATAATTCAGTAAATTTAATATTGAACATAAAATTATAAAAATTAATATTTTATTTTTTTTAAATACTTTGATAAGAATATAAAATATAAATTAATAATTTGTTTACTCCATAGTATAGTTTAAGTGGATTGAATAATATTTTAATTTTAATTACAAATTATGGGTCTTATAATTATGGTACATTTGTATAAAAGTTTTATGACTTTTGTTTTGTTTTCAGATGTGCAATGATTTACAAAAACACACGATAAGTTCAGAAATAATAAGCCCAGAACCAATGAAAAGAAATTCGCCATTATACCAATGGTAACGGTGATTCAGATGTACGTGACTTTTCTTCATTTGTTCTTTTGGCATATACTGTCAGAGGATTGTTTTTTCTTAATAATGTTATTGACGTGAGGAGAAACGCGGCGTTGTTTTTTCCTGTTTTTAGTACCTTACCTAAACAAGTTCGTTATTTTATAACTATTGAGACTTAGCAATAAATATAACAGTAATAATAAAAACAAATTTAATTAAAAAACTAATAATAAAATACACAATAACATTAACTTATACAAACATGCAGAAAAAATATTGTCTTAGCTGTTTTTGTTTTTCTTGGTTTTTACCTATATAAACCTAAACCTATATATTGTTGATGAAAGTAATATTGCTCTTGTATGATGGGGGGATTGTTCATAAAAACTGTTACAGAGATACGTATTAATGAAGATGTATGCTTATGTGATACGGTTAATTTATTTATTGTTGCGTTGAAAATATTATTATTATTATTATTTGCACGAATTTAATTAAATCATATCAAATGAAGTTTGCACGTTTTATTTGGAATAATTAAAAATGGTTAAAACAACGTGGATTTTTACTTATAAAAATATAAAAGAATAATAACTAGTTTATGGTATTTTAATATAATATGGATAACGAGCTAAAAAATGTACGTCGATCGTAATTAATATTTATATTATTTATTAATAAATAATAAAAAAAAATTAATACAGAGATGATTTTGTTTATGTATTAGAAACGTACTTTGATTAGTAGAATATTTTGCAATAAAATATGTCTGTACCACATTTCTTTTTTAATTGAATACTTTTTCGATAAAATATAGAATCTCTTAGAATCTCTTAATAGATAAAATCGTTTACAAATTGTATTATGATAATGAAGAGAATAAATACGATTCGATAGTAATAAATTATTCATAAATTGGACCATACTTGACTATAAATAGTATATTTGGCCCGATAATACATAAAAAAAGAAAACAGAATATTACATTAAAGAAATATTTAAGAATTTCGTTATATAATATATAAAGTAAGCTTTAAATATATATTTACAATTTATTGTTAAAAAAAATGGACAACTATTTTTCAAATGTTTATAAATATTGTAAAATTTTCTTTGTATGGAAAACATTATATCTAAACATTTAAGTACATCGAATTGTAAATATTCGAAAATGAGAGCTATATGAACATTTGTATTCCTGATTAAAATATTTTACGAATGTATAAATTACTCAAATTTTTAAATATTTTATTGAAATACTTAACGATGCAACGATTATTATCAGTACTGCTGAATTATTGTTATTGTAATTTAACTAATAATTATTGTAAAGAGTAATAATAATAATAAAGAATATTACTATATTGGTATTATTACGAAAATCTTTTTAAATATTTGTATACATTTTTTCATGTTAAAGTGACTCTTACAGATAAATAAATAGTATTGGATAGTAAATGTATAATATTTATTGTTATTGTATACCAATTCGAATTCAATACCAAACGGCTAATAACTTGTTTAAAAATTGTTTATATTCACACTGTTTAGGTGCATCAACCACATTTCACTATATTATGATTCTGATGACAGATTTTACTATAAGTATGATCTCGTAAGAAAAATACTGGATATCATAATGTTATTCACGCAAGAAATAAGCATTACATTTAATAACAAAATGTTAATTAAATTGAAATTTTTAACTACTTTAAAATATTGTTTTTATTGTTATTATAAATTAAAATTTTTCATTCTTGTTAGTAATATTTGCTTTATTTCGTCCCGTTAGATGCAGTGAAGATCACCCGTCTCACATTGGGTTTTATTCGATAAAATATGGCCAAAATTAGAGGAAAAAAATAGAATTGGATGAAAAAAGAACATTATTTTACTCATATGGTATCCTATAATATTTAATGATATAAGAATAACGGCGATATAATCATTATTATTGTAGTTATATTGATAATGTGGTTGTGGTTGTATGATGTACCACCTAACCGACTGATTTCATACTTAAGAATGTAAACATGGGTTACGATTTGGTTGATTCAATCGTTAATTATTTTATATATTCAGTAAAATTGACAAACTTAGAAATATAGATTCTGTAGCTGGAGGTATGCAAATAAAAAAATTATTTAATTTATATAAATATAAAGAAAAACGTCAATATAAAGTTTAAGTTTAAGTTAAAAATAATTTTACTTTTTCCGAATGTTTCTCGGCTCAACTTTTTTTTATTTGTTTTTATTATTTTGTAAATTACAATAATTACTTTTGAAAAAATGCGTTGGTTTGCAATATTTTTAGTTATTCAAATTTTAATGTCAGAAAACTTTTGGAATTTTCAAAATATTTTTAAACGTTATTTTTTGTTTTTTGTAACCATTACAGTATTATATGTAATTTCTTCTGAATACCATGATTATTGATAGTTATTTTTCCTTTGTAGGATCTCCAAAAATTCATATGAGTCTAAGTAGAAGATATTTGTTTAATATTATGGACTAATATCAATTAAAAATTTAGGTGATAAAAGTAATTATTTAAAAAATTGAGTTATTGAACTGACTAATTTAGACAAATGGACAAACCAAATAAAACACATATTATCGCGTTTTACTTCTGAATTAAAAATTAAATGGAAAAATTGTTAAAGAAAAAAAAATAGATTACTTTCAAAATACAATACTTTGTTCAATGGTAAAATACACTCTTCTATATGGTGGAGTTGTTTAAAGGAAAGTAAAAAGTGGTAGACCAACTAATCTCTTTATTTATTCTAGTGAACATTCTAAACGTAGAAAAACGGAAAAATTACGAAATAATAATAGTACCTACATTTGAACTTTCATATGCTACTCAAATTAGTCTTCGTTTATTTGGACAAAATAATGCTGAACTCTAGAGAAAATGTTATACGAACAACCCCTACTTGAGCACTAAAATATAAAAATTAATTTAAAAATAGTTTAAATTGTAATACTCCTCTAACAAAAAAGTTAAGCTCTTTCTATACTTATTGAGTCTAAAATGACCAGAAATCAATATAATATTGAGAGCAAGCAAGAATAAAAAAAATTGCAAACTTTATCCTCTTTATTATGTTGTGAGGCAGGCAAAAAAGAATGTTATCTTGATGCACAGTTTATCTCTATTTCACCCAATGTTGGTAAACTAAAATTAAAATCATTATTGGATCATACTATTCATCGTATTCTTTTAGTGCAATCTGTTTTGATTAAAACATTGTCGTATAAACAGTTAAATAATTTATTTTTAATATCAAAATTGGGTTGTGATGGAAATTCAAATTTAAGTCAATACTAACAAAAGTTTGAAGATAAAAATAATTTAAATAACAGATCTTACATCAGTTTTTTTTAACGTCTTTTATATCTATACAATTGACAAATGATGATATTGAATCTTCAAATAAAACTGTTACATGAAAAATTCACGACTTTCTTTATCACGATTCTGTAGACTTATAAGACTTCATGTTTATCATGAAACTACAGAAATAGCAATTAAAAAAAAAAAAAAAAATAGTATATCCAAACATAAATCAACGACTTAGATTCAAGTTCTGTTTTGATAAAAGAAAAACAATTAATAATCAAACATATATTGTTGTTTATGATGAAAGATGGTAAGGTATGTAATGCTATTACGTCAACAAACTAGGATGAGGATTTTAAAAATCAAATGGGACTCCTTGTAGATTGTCCAAAACCGAGGTATGGAAGTACAAACGATGGAATTTCAACCGGAGATTTTTCGAAAACCATCATCTTTTTAGTTATATAACAGGAATTGATTTAGAAATAATCGACAATTTGAAAGTTGTGTTACAAACTATTTCAAGTAGTTATTATATGAACATAGAATAGTTCGAAGTTCTTAAAGTTCTAACATTTTAAAAACAGTAAAATTATTTGTCGAAAATACCTTGCTACTATATATCGATAATAGCCCATAAAATTTTACATAGTCCAAAAATTATTGAAGAAATGGCCTTACTTTCAATTGAAATGCTTTTTAAAGAAGCTCAAGAAGCTAAAAATAAGGATATCAAAAAATACCGAGAAGGATTTTTCAGGAAATGTTTAAAAAATTAAATCGATGGAAGATATTTTAAAATTGCTTCTCATATAATCTGATCTTTTGAAATCAAATATATGAGATATCTTTCACGATAAAAATATACAATATTTTCAAAGGAAGTGTTAGATATGCTTTTGTCAACATTGGAAGAAATTACACAATATAAAATTGATACGAACAAAGACACCGCTAATGACACGACAATTCTTTCTTTTCAGACTTATATGATTATATGTATATGTCGTTGAAAATGTATTTTGATGTTAATAAAATAGTATTAATTCAATATAATATTGTTATATAATGTTATTACATTTTGGCCACAAAATATTGAAAATACCCCACTGTGCGTCTGAAGAATGCACTAATGATCGCCTCCTATCAGCTAAATGTGACCTATGTTCTGAGCCCTATACTGTTTCCTTATGAAAGACTTTTAGTTTTCAAGAAAATTGATTATGACTCTCACAAATGAATTACGGCAAACCAAATTCCGTCGATTCCTTTTACTTAAGTTTTTTTCACACAAGGTCACTCCCATTGACAAACTTCACCGATACCACTACCAACTAATTATCAGTGACATTATCAGACATTAAAACTAATATCCTGATGAATTTTAACAAATTTATATCCATTTATATCATTATTAACGTCCGTCTTAAATAAACGTTTATTTCCAACCACCTAGATCTCGTAATTAATTTAATTTTCTCTTCTCGGACGTTTATAATATACATTACATTATTATTATATTATTTCAGTTTAATATTTTATCTGTAATCATTTTTATGTTCTCTTAATTATGTTCTACCTCACTGTTTGATCTATAATAAAACAATATCGAAGGACGCGACAATGTATAATTAAAAAAAATGCGCTTGAATTTGGGAAAGGTAAGCAGTCTACTATACTCCCTATGGCTTCTATAAGTTGGCAAGCAATGATTGTGTGTCCGGCCGTGACGACGACGGCAACAATGACGACAAGGAATGGGAACTATGAGTTTTACACGAGAACGAGGAAAGTACAGCTTAGTTAAAAAAAGGGGGGAGGTTTCT